TTTGTTGGGGGGGGGGGGAGGGGGGGCATATCCACATGTCAAATGTCATTGCTCTGTGCACTATTTTAATGATTAACTATCATTTTGTATACATTTAATGTACATTTCTACCCCTCCAGCACCCCCCTATAGTCTTATACTCACTTGTCTATGCTCCTGAGACACCCACACTATGTGGTCTATGGGGAGCCACATGGTTGCAGCTGCAACTTCTCAAGCTGGTCCTTCCTTGTGTGCATGCGGTGAATAAAATCACAGTAATTCCTATGGAATGCCCACCTGTCTTCGTAATGCATAACATTACAGTCCCAAGATTCCTTGGGAATCTTGCAGTACACAGGTAAGTGTAAGACTGTGTGTGTGTGTGGGTTAGGGGAAGGTAAAATATATGATAATTACACACGGGTATAGTTATCCCTTAAGCAAATACTCTTCTGTAACAGCAATCAGTGCCAAAGAATAATCACTTTACATGTGCCTACTAAGTTGTGTATTTATATTCAGATAAACTCTTTGCTATAGCATCTATTACATATAAATGCACGTCAGCTGGTGTGCCGTGCCTGACACAGTGCTGATGCGCCAATCCCGGCACATCCCACCGTGTACTTTGTTTTTAGAACTTTATCACATGTGATATTTTATTAAGTTCTACGGGCACAATGTGGTGCAAGGTAGTTGTACTGTGTTGCATCTCCGTGCGCACACCACCGCAATGCGCATGAGTTAGGTGGCGTGAACTGAGCCCATCTGTGACAAGGCAAGTTGTGTTGGGGCTGCACTGGAAACAACAGCCAATGCAGCCCCAACACATATGGTGGGAACCCACCCTTAAACCATGAGGCTTGCACCAATGACAACCCATATATATTAGAGTGCTGTCAGTGGAGCTAATCTTCAGAATGTTGCAGAACACTACATAAACTTTGTCAACCTGGCAGGTCAATGGAATAAGGGAAAGGAGATTAGTGGCAAAGGGAAAATATACTTGCTCTGCTTATCTCAGAGGACAATAGTTATCAGAACTATAACTTGTCTAATGAATATTCCACTAGAGAGTTTTCTGTTGGAGGGTATTCTGTTGGAGGGTGTGACAATATCATGTCACTACAGCCATAAGACCTGGCACCTGATCTGGCTAAAAATTGTCAACAGAAGACAAGTGTCTTCTGTTGTTCCATAGAGGTCTGCCTGATGCAGACCTCTGCTGGACCTGTCTGTGGAATGCTTACTAGGGTTTCATTTTTCAGTTTGGGAAGTGTACCCATATCCCAAACTGCCACTCCCAAACACAGCACAATGAGAGGATAGGGCTTTACAATATTTTTCCAATAATTTCAGTTCCACATTAATTTCCTGGCCTGCAGGGGCTTGTAGTTCCATGTATGTGACACTGGCTATGGGTAGAAATAGAAGTAGTAAGATGGCCTGGTTCTACTTGTTCATGCCCTTTACCCCCATTCACATCTTTTGCCCTAACCAACATATGCAATACATTAAAATGTAGACCTTTCACTAACACATTTACATTTGTTTTGATGCCTCTTGTACTGGTGTACACGTTTTTACTGTAGCAGTTAAAGAAGTATATATGTGATCCTGAATACTGCACAAAAAGTATAGCCTGGAGTTGCACTTTAAAGCATATCTAAACCCAAAACCAAAAATGGTTCAGGATTTGTTCCCTTTATTTCACATGACGATCCTGACAGTTACACGCTTCCTGTCCTAGGGTGACAACTCTCACTCACTGTACTGTATCTATGGAGGAGCAACATCATCACACTAGGACAGGACTACAAAATACTTCCTCCTCTCGTCTTCTCCATAACATAGAGTGGAGATGTTCTCTAGTCCATAGAGATACAGTAGCTGTGAACATCGCTAACCGACAACAGTGAGCAGAGGTAGACAGCACAGGAAGTCAGCTAACAAGGTTTCTGGCAGGATCTGCACTTATTAAAGAGATAAAACAAAACGCTTTCACTGCAAAATTTAACAGAGCAAATAAGAACAAATAAGATAAGTTCATTGTTAGGGTTTACATACACTTTAATTTAAATTTAGGATGAAGGATTTTGTTTTAGGATTATTATTACTGCACCAAAACGTCATTGGTGTTTTGTGTTCCTACCAACTAGAGTGATAAAAAAATCAGCTTGTACATTTACTGATGCCAAGACATCAAGTGCTGAAAATATATTCTAGATGCTGCCACTTGAAAAATATAAAACCAATCAAAATCACACCTTTTTTCACTAGCCAAAATGAATGGACCAAGTTACCACAAATAAATACGGACGGTAACTTGCCAAAACCTTAAGGAAGTATTTGCACGTCTTACTTTATTCAAACAAATGTGTAAGGAAAATAATACATCATAATGAACATTTTAAACATTATAATAGACCTTGTATTGTGTTTTTAAGTATTACAACTGAATCATGCACCCTACTGCAGGAATTGTGGGTCTTAAATCTGAATACAATGCCTTGAAACAGTACATTTCTGGATTCAGCTATCCATTAATAAGATCCAATGCTAAGTAAAATAAAAAGGGCTTTAAGCATGAGCGTCCACACACAGCTAGTGATGTGCATTTTAATTAAGCTGGTCGCTCATGCTGCAAGTTGATATTGAACAGGCAATTGATCTCTGCAGCTCTCAAAATCCATGGCTGTTACTCAAACCTAAGAGCTTTCATTGGTATTTGATCCACACATCACAACATCCACAGTTTTGTGTCAGGGCCTGTGCATGTTGTGATGACCTCCTCCATATTTCTACAGTACCATCCCTTTAAAGACCACAACTCAAAAACATTAAGAACAGTGGCCTCCAATGCACTGTAATCAAAATGATAGAATAGAACTCCCATTTTGATAACATCTAAACAGGAGTTTATACCTGTACTTTAGCTTTTTTCAGCATAGTACTTTAGTTTAAAAGCAGTAACCCATAGCAATCTTGATTAGTTAATATGTATGATTCTACTTAGAACTTAGTACTTTTTTTGGACAATATTGCAAGTAACCAGCACTGGCAGCTATACAATTTTTTTATTTGAAACATAAGGAAACTTTTCTACCACCAAAAATATTGATATTACACTGTGTTCTGCGTTTGTCCTGCAGTGCGATTGCTATTGTGAATCCCTATCAACCATTACAAAATAATCTTTCAGTGATATGACTTCTAATATCTGGATGCTAAGGGTTACTGCACTTTTCACATCATCATCACTCTTTGGCTTTTCTTATTGAATAAAAGAAAAGAACAGAAAAATGAAAGCAAGCACAATATATTCCTTGCAGTACATTTATTTTGCTGCTACAAACGTTCTCATGCTACAGGTCAAGACGACTCACCATGAGTGATATCAGCCTTTTCTTTAACAAATTGATGATTACAGAATCTTTCCATTCCATGCCAGACTCTCTCAGTGGACTCCTTTAATTCCATTTTCTTTTGACCTTTACACTGTCATAATGTAAGATTCATCAGGGAAATGAGATTTAGCTCTTTGTTCCCCAAATGCCATACAGAGGCTGGAGATGGTTCAGATACCGCAGTGTGGTTCAAAGCATTTAATCAGATGTGGTTATATAAATGGAATATACAGGAGTTGTACACAAAATACTCTTGTCACAGTAATCAAGGCATTCAACTTACTCTTTCTGCTGAAGAATTCATGTCATAAAAATACAGCCATGTTTACCAGCTACAGAACTAATGCTAGTTAAACCGATGAATGCACTTATTTGCGGAACATTTCCTATAGGCCATCCCACACATTTGTAGTACAGTGGGATTCATCTATACAAATGAAAGCAGAGGTTCCTTGTCTATGGCTACCAATACAATTATGTAACTAGCAAAATATCCACTGCAATATGACTTTGGACAACACCTCTGGGGTGATAAGGATGTCAGTGGACAGCTTACCCCTGGATTGTGCTAACTGGGGGCATGTGGTAATTGCAACCTTTGTACAACTGCAGCAGATACTTACTAAAGGCATAGCAGTAGTATAACTAATGCAAATCCTTTTCAACAGAAAACTGTCAATAAAACACATGTCTCAGGGTGACATAAGATGATCAAACTGCATCTGGCTGATAACTATTTGAAAATATATCACATCTCTATAGAGACACTGAACTCTGCAGGTGCCACCTAGCAAACTTGTTTTGGAGGAAAGACTCATTATTTAAAATGGACTGGATCAAAATAAGGTTTGCACCAGGAGTCTTGTCAGTGCAAAACAAGCATATTCAACTAAAACAATGTTCGTGTTTATGAAAAGATACGAGGGAGAATCAAAAAGTAAAGGCAAAATACATTTAACGGCTTTAACATATCACTTTTCCACATAGTCCCAATGCAAGATGAGGCACTTGTTGTATCACTCAACTAGCTTCTGTATTCCCGCAGAGAAGAAGCTTTTCAGCTGCTGCTGAAGTCAGGTGTGCACTGCTTCCTTTACTTCATTATCTGAGGTGGACCTGCGACCGTGGTGCCCCTCCTTCCTTATGCTCTCTGGGGTGTAGTTGTGCACCCAAGTCTCATCGCCGGTGACGATTCTCTCCAGCATACCCTGATCTTCTTCATACCGTCTAAAGAACTGGGTCGCAACCTCCACACACTGTTTCTTGTGCAGAGCAGTAAGCTGTCTAGGAACCCATAGCTCCCAGACTTTCCTGTACTGAGCCAACATCTGACAGTGAATTTCGACTAGTATCACTCCCTCTGCCTAAAGAAAGTGTGCTACAGCACACACATTGTTCTTTAATGGTGCAATCTCGGAATGGAGCGTCCATGTTTCTGTCCACTTGACTAAAGTCTGAGCGCTGTACTGCGCATGGTCGAACTATCCAACAGGCTATGTAAATATTCTGCATTGTGCACGTTTCTCTCTGTTCTGGTTACCGCATGATTTATAAATTACTATTACTTTTTGATTACTATTTGACTCGCATTTTGCAAAAAAGCTCCTTCAGGGTCTAAATCTTCTGATTTCCATCATATATCTGGCTAGCCTTATGTAGTTCATTCAGTGAATAAGCAACCCCCAAAGGCACTCAGTTAACACTGGTTTTCATAAAGTGGTAAATGTAAAGTTGGGAAAGTTATGCTAGAAGAGATAACATTTCTTACTGCACATATAGTAAAATAAAAAGTTACTTACGGTACACATTATCCTTGAGTGTGGAAAGCCTAAAGCCAGTAAAGGTCCCATTTAAGGCACTGCTGCTATTGCCATATGTGTTAATTGGAACAATCTTCTCCTTCACAGCAAAAAAACTGATAAAGACAATGATCAGGACAACCATGACCACAATAAAAATGATAAAAGTGGCCTTGGCATAGATGCTGGCACCAACCAGACAGACAAGGAGGCAGATGAAGAGTAGGACTGTACCATACAGAAATTCATACCAGTAGCTCTGTGGCAAAACATGGACTCCACTTTTTACATCATGTCCTGTAAAAAAAATGGTTTTAGTTAACAGTCACCAGATCTTTTAGTTCAAGTCACATGTTAAAATATATTATGTTGCCTTCTCGTTCATAGTAATATACTGTATTCGCAGGGCAAGTACTTCTTGATTCCTGCATAAATTCTTCTTTAATTAAAATATTAACATGAACCCCCCCCCCCCCC